TTTTGGCTAATGCTTTTAGAATTCATTCGTTCATGTATTATTCTCTTTTAGGCGTGCGTATTACGAGTTTATCTTTAAAAACACAGAAAATTAGCTGTGAGCTTTTTAAGAGTAGAGACCACATGCTTTCTCTTTCGAATCCTCTCCCCACTCTGCTTGATGGAATGACACGCCCTCGGTAGGAATCAAAATACCTCCTTCCGTTGTCTTTAACGGCACCTACTTCTTTAAACCCCATTCATGTCTTACTGGACAATCTTGAGTCCTGCTTGAGTACAAGGAAGGCCCTGCTCTCTCTAGGTGACACCAATTCCCATCCCCAGGGGGGACGGGTCTCCATTGCTGATGACTGTCCAAGGGAGGCTTCCTTTACCTTGAATTACATTTTCTGCATTCTTTAGTAAATGTGCATACTTTACCCTTAAGAAGCCCAGTGAGGAAGACGGAGTAGAACATCTCTCTAGGCCACATTTATCCACCCCAACATCAATCTTCATAGTTCAAAGTGGTTTTCGCAAAGTCATGAAGCTAGCTATTGATAGGGCCCAGCCCGGCCTCCAAAGTGATTCCTGACTCACCTCGGACCACTGCTGTAGGCTTGCTGGTCTTCTTGTAAGATGTCCAGAATTCATGCAACAGTCTTTGTGCATCATCAACCCAGTCACACACACACACACACAGGCACACACGTACACACATCGACATAGCGATACTTGAGTTTCCAAATAAAACAAGAGGAAAGCATGAGGCTACCCTCGGTCCTCTTCCTTGGTCATCCCTGGACCACAGAAGTGCTACCTTACGGTGACAGAAGACAGTATGGCCACACTATTGGAACTAGGCTGTTCTTTCAGTAAAGAGCGCCTTATCTGAGAAACACCACGGCGAGTGCTATGGGTTAAATTGTGTCCCTAACCATGCACATGCTGCCGCCTTGGCTCCCGGGACCTCACAATGTGGCCTGATGTGGAGACAGTCTACACAGGGCTGACTAAGTTACCAACGTGACAGGCTCCTCAGACAGCAGGGAAACCGACACAGCCAGACGTGGAGGGAGGACGCCGTGGAAATGTGGAGACGGCCACTGTCCACGAGCCACGGAGGTGGCTGGGCAGCGATTCTCGCTGTGGGCCCAGCAGCACCCTGCTGACACTTTCACTCCCCTCTTCCTGCCTCTGAAACTGCGAGGCATGGCGCTCCTGTCACTGAAGACGCCTGGTTGGTGGTAGTTTCTCCAGCAGCCGAGATGGGAGCCTGCTCACACGGTAGGCCATCTCCGTCTGAAGGGCATCACCTGCCAAAGGGTCCACGGCTACTTCTAGTGGATCATGTGGATGGCTTTTGACAGACCCCTCTGGCTGACAGGAAGCGAACAGAGGTTGGGCTGGGAAGCGGCTTCTGTGGAAGAGATTCCCCACACACCATGTGGACTAGACCCCGTACGGAGGGTCACACCTTCAGCAGAGACAGGGCGGAGCCCAGACTGGGGCTGGAATCTGCCAGCCTCGCAGTCTGCTCATCATCTGTCTGGGAATTAGAATTCTCCTCAGGAGAAATTCAACTCCTCCGCCATCTGACCTCCAAGCTTGCCCAAAATACTCCCCTTCTCTGCCCCAAATTCTCCACGGCTCCTTGGCATTGCCCAATCCTACCAGCCTTGAATTCCTGCCCCTTCTAGAAAGTCGTCTGGCTGACACAGCCTTAGGGACTGCTCCCCGCCTGTGCCAACACTTCTGGTTGCTTAACCCTGAATTGCAGCCTGGGAATGTTCTAGCAACAGCCCTGAGCGACTTCACCCCTGTCTGGAACCTCTTATGGCAGGATATGGGCTTGCTGGGGGCAGAAGTCTGTCCTTGGACTCTGATATCTCTCTCACGGGCCCTGGGAAAGAGATAGACCACAAAATCCGAATGCACCCCATTTAGGAAGGTGCTGAACTTATAGAAAATCAACACTTTTGGGCACCTAGGTGGCTCAGTTGGTTGAGCAACTGCCTTCGGCTCAGGTCATGATCCTGGAGTCCCGGGATCGAGTCCCACATCGGGCTCCCTGCTCGGCAGGGAGTCTGCTTCTCCCTCTGACCCTCCCCCCTCTCATGTGCTCTCTCTCATTCTCTCTCTCTCAAATAAATAAATAAAATCTTAAAAAAAAAAAAAGAAAGAAAGAAAATCAACACTTCTACATGTCGATAAAAACAAGGATTTGAGAAAAATTCAATGCTTGGTCAATGGGGCATGCAGGTTGGCAGAGCACCGGACAACACAAGGTCACAAGTCATTCGAACTCCCTGCCCCCACGTCAGCAGCTGCCCCGTCAACATGTGGGCTGTGACCTTCTTCACCCTCACCAGCTGGTAAGACCACCCTCAGAGACCAGCTTTGCTCTGGCAATTTGATCGGCAGCAGTGAGACCCTCAAACCTCTCCTCAGGGCACAGTTACCCCAAGTCAGGAAAACTCGGGAAGGCTCCCGGGTCGTGCCTCCGAGGGCCTCTGCCCCCGCCCGCACCTCCTGCTCTCACACAGGACTTCCAGACCCTTCTGTCTATCACTGTGCTTCTCAAAGTCTCAAATTTCCCAAACCATCTGCCTAGCGCAGGCCACCGACAGCGGCTTATGAACAACGGACACTTATTTCTCATGGTCCTAGAGGCCAAGGTCGAGGTCACGGCGAGGGTGGTTCCCCCAGAGGCTCAGACCCGGGGCGCGGACGCTGTCCCCCGGCTGTGTCCACACCCGCGCAGGGCCGGGGAGCCATCTGGGGTGTCCCACAGGAGGGCACCACCCCACCCCTGAGGCTCTACCCTCGTGACCTACCCGCCTCCCAGAGGCCTGGCTCCAGAGCATCACACTGCGGTGGGGGAGGACAACACATGAACCTGGCGGGGACATGAACACTCCATCTGTAGCGTCCTCCATCCCCCCCCAAACATGTCCTCCTCTTCACTCCATCCCCACCGCCCTGTCCGAGCCCACGCCGCCGCTGGCTCCTGCCGTCTCAGGCACTCACATGCATCTATCACTGCCACGGTCTGTGAGGCATGGCTAGTTTCAGGGGGAGAGGGAAACCGAGGGACAGCTCTGTCCTCTCACAGAACCTGCAAAAGAGAGAAGGAAAGAAAGGGACCCATGACACACAAGCTGAGAAACAAGGCAATGGCAACTGAGCGGTCTTCTGAAGGGAGCCCACGGTGACGTCGTGGTCATTGGCGCAGGACAGACCAGCAGTGTGAGTGAGGTCCTGATGCTCCTTCAGAGCCTGTGATCAGGGCAGAATCTCCAGCCTTGTGAGAAAGAACCCTTCACGGGCAGAGCAGGCCCAGGCTGTGGCCCAGGCAGCAGTCTCAGCAAGTGCAAAGGGCCTGAGGCAGCACACACCTGGTTTCCTCCAGGCCACAAAGGAGGTTCCTGTGTCTGCGGCTTCACAGTGTGTGATTGCTCAAAAACAAGAGACAGTCATTCCCATGCAGTCAAGACCACTGCCATTGGATGCCTCCCTGTCCCTCTGCCCCATCCTGCGTCTACTGCTGACCCCCCTTGCCTAACAAGACCAACCTTCGGTCTGCTCCTCCAAGATGCCCACCTTCTCACCACGTGCTCTCCTCTCTCTGCCTGGAATGTCCCGTCTGCCTCCTTTCACAAAACTGCTTGTCCCTCAGGACCCCTCATCACATGAACTGGGCAGAGGCCAAGTCCTGGACTTCACTGCTCTACCGATGGACCCATGCACACACACACACGCGCGCACACACAGCCGTGGGCAGGGGCACATGCCGGCTGCCAGACGAACGGCCAGACATCTGAGCCTGGGGTGTACTGGAATCAATGCAATAACAAGGCTCATTATAGCAGGGCTTTATTATGCAATCTTATTTCAACTGATAATTCGGGGGACTATTCCACACGCCAGGAGCAGCGTCCTCTATTACTTCGCTTGGCCCACGTTCCGTGTACACGGCAGATGCTCATTTGCCTAAATGGGGAACCCACGGGCCGGCGTCTACAGAGAGGAGGAGGAGAGAGGCAGGCGCGAGCTGCTGCAGTCTCAACGGGAACGGCCTTCTTCTCGGGCCCCGTGCCGGAGCTCATCGCTCTTTTAAATTCTTTCTTAAAAAATGCAGCCCAGCATCACTCAGACGGGGGGGCGTAGGGGTGTTCAGGTATTAAATACACACTCTCTATTACATGTTTAATAAACACTGCTGGCTTAGAGGGAAGCAAAATTGTTTTTTTATAAACACTGGGGCCGGCAGACACATTTTCCTGGCAATGATCTGCGGAAAAACACCTCTGGGGTCCTTGCTCATTCGCGCCACGGCAGGAGCTGAATGGAGCCGAGTGTGCGGCTTCCCGGGGGTGTCTGCAACTGAGATGGACACCAGAAAGGAATGGAAGCAGAGGCAAGTCACTGGAAAGTAAATGAATATCTGAAACCAGAGGCGTAGGAGGCCAGCCCCACGGGGCTCCGCAGCCCTGCCCTCCCCGCTCGGGGCCTCAGCGTCAGGTGCTGTGATCCGGGCTCACAGTTCCCGAGGGCCCCCTGACATGGGTCCACAGTACTGAACCAACCTAACGTCTGAGCCCTCCATGATCAGTCATGCTTTTGGATAGGTTGTACTTTCGACATCCGCCGACATCTGTTTATAGAATTTGAGAGACAAAGGAAGGTCTCTTTGCCTCAAAACATCTCCCTCGCTGCCAGACAGAGGGCCACAAACTAGACATTAGAGATTCATTTCTTGGGAGGGTTAGGTTTTTGTATCTCGTTCCACAACTAATAAAATAATTACCTTTGGCCCTCTTTAAGTACAATTTTGTAAGGGAGATGTTGATGTTGAGCGAAGAACCAGGCTCTTGCAAAACCAGAAGAGTCTCAAAGGGAACCAGAAGGCCAATATGAGGAAGGAGGGGAAGGGCTGCGTCATCACGCCAAGGTCTCGCCGGGTTAGCTCACAATTCATCATGAGGCCAGCCCTGCCTCTGAATGAAGTCCTGCCGGCAGTTTATAAAGGTCAGCTCTGAGGAAGTCCGGTGGCTGCTCGGCAGCCAGCAGAGGGCTTGTCGGTCACAGTCTCTGTGATTAGCGGCCAGGGCGACAGGCAAAAGAGAAGGTCTGTGAGGGTGGGAGGGCAGAGGCAGAATCCCAGGCAACCAGAGCCAGCACCCCTGAGCAGGGCAGGGGGCAGATACCTGGAGAGGTCACGGACACCAAGAGAGGTCATGGACACCAACCAGGACGTGTGCCTGAGGACAGGGATGCCTCCCGACACACACAGGACTCCGGAGGCCGCACTTGCATCCCGCACCTCACCCTGCGCCCTGCCATGGCCCTCGCCCTCCCTGGGGCCTCGGGCAGCCACGCCCCTGCACTCACTCTTCTGCCCACTCCTCACAGGCAGCTCCCAGCAGAGAATCCGTGAGGGCACGAGCCTCTGGGGGCCAGGGGCCACGCTCACTGGCTCCCCGGGAGCTGGCATTTTCTGTCTCATCACACAGCATCAAGGAGAAGCTTATGACCTCTTAGGGTTTCAGCATCGCCCAACAGGTGAGGTGTGCGGTTTAAGGGAGGATGCTTGTAAGTCAGAGAGAGAGAAGACGCAGAGGCTGACCTGGGAAGGATGGAAGTTTGGGGAGGCCAGGACCCGGGGCAGCACCTGGCATGAAGATATTTTAAAAAGGGGCCCTGGAAGATGGAAGGAATGGGTCTCTGGCCTCCCTTTCCTTTTACGGAAACATGCACCGTGGCGGCATCCATGTCTTCCCACCAGAGGATTTTAAGTCCCCAGGGAAATATTCTTTACAGGTTCTCGGCTTTGCCATACGCCCCCTCTTTCACTGCCATATACGAGATACTAGGTGTCAAGGCCTCTGGAAATTGAACGCTCCTCAGAATGTGAGCGGGGCCTGGCTAGGGAGAAATAGAAAAGAGAGCAATACAGACAGAGAGGAAGAGACTGGTTCTTATTTCACATATTCTGGAAACTCCTCTGATTATTCATTCAGAAGCTTCAGTGGCAAAAATGTATCTATTTTGAATAGGATTTTACTTCTTATCTTGTTCTGTGTGCCTAAAATGTCTTCATTTGTACAGTCAACAGAGTTTGCAAACCTTATCCTTGGAAGGCACATTTCTGGAAAAGACCCAGAGCTGTATGCACGGGCGGCAGAGTCTAGAGGATGCGCTCAGGTTGCTGCAGTTGAAGGTGGTAAGTTCCTATTTCCTCTTCCCTCTTTCTTGTAGGCAAAAAGTCCATCAAGTGATGGAGCTCCCCAGGACTCTCTCTGCCCAGCGGTGTCCAGCCTGGGATTCCTTCTGGCCTGGGTGACCCAACATCCAATCCTGCTTCGTTACAGAACCGACCACCCCTTGCGACCACCCTTGGCAGGGAAAGTCAGGGAGCTGAGGAGCTTACGTGCTTGCTTTAGAGAAAACACCACTCTGTCTAGGTGTGTCTGCCTGGCCTCCGCGGGCCACAGGTATTTCAGCAACAGGACCAGACCCGGTACCAACAGCAGCTGGTTAATGAGAACACCACGCTCTAACATTCAAGGACTCGTTCCTGTGCTCAGCACCAGCGTGTGTGACATGCCTAATACACACTAGCTCCCTTCCTTCTCCTAAGAAATCCATTTCACGGGGCACACTTCTAAGTGTGCATAAAACCTTACTGCATGAAATCCATGTAGAACGTCTGTTTCGCCCGTGGCTAATTCCCTGGTCTGCAACAGGAAAGTTCTTGAGGCAATGCGGCCACTCAAGAAAGAGAAACCATACCTGTCCTCAGCACCCCGGATCTCCCTCCCACATGCAGAAATCCCGACCCACAATGACGGTGGAAGTTCTAGAACTTCTCTCTGGGGGAGGTTTAGGAGAAGCCACCTGGTTGAAAGAAGACACCAGGTAACTTGTCTTAAAGCAGCATACGCTCAGCAAATACATGGCTTTTATTTAGATCTGACACGCGTTGGGGGTGCAGAAAAGTGGACGTGAAGCTTGCTTCCAGTGGCAGCTGGGGAGGTGACCACCAGGCATGCTCCCTTCTCTGGCAGTCAAGTGCTGGGGATCACCCACAGCATGTCTCCACGCTAGTGGCATTCTGCGGCGCGTAAGAGCAAATGGATACACAGACCCTGCCAGTGGGGAGTGGCCCATGGTCCCATTCTTCTTTTGATTAACAGGTAATCAAATGTGGAGTAAACCACTTCACGTCTCTTGGGTCATCGAATGCAATCCCATACATGCTACTTCAGGGCACAACCACACACCACTCATTCTTAGTCTCCTGCTGAGTCCACATCACTGCAGAGCAAGGGTCTACTTGGCCCAGACACGGGGGTACTGCTCATGTAGTTTGCATCAATCCCACTGAAGCCAAAACTGAGGGTTCACATATGTCCCCTATCCTCTGTCAATATGCAGGCTGACCCTCCAGTGTGGAAGATGGGTCCGGGTCGGCGTCTCAGTGGCACAACTGGGTGGTTTTCCCCCATTTCCTCTGTGTGTGTTGTGCATTCCACCAGCAGTGACTAACTAAGCCTTTTCCTCGTAAACAGAATCGAAGGAAGTAGGAAGAACCCAGGGGGCCAGTACTCATAGTTAGCATGACCTTATTTCTGGGAAGAAGCCATTCCATTTCTCCTCCTGGCTACCTCACCAGCCCGTCAAAATATGAACCAGGCTTCTCTACTTTCAGTCAAGTAAGTTCTCTACATTGATGATGCTCCTTGTTAGATGATCACGGTAATGTTTCTTCCCTAGCTTGGTAAGAGAAACCTTCACGCTGTCATCGACTCGTGCCCGGAGACCCCGGCAGCACATCTGTCCTTCACAAGGAGCGCCAGCACGTGACCTCTCACCGCGGGCTGGTAAGTGATGTCCTGGGCATCTATGCGTATATGAGCTTTCATAGCTGTCTTTCTCACTGGGCATGGAGCTCCCTGAGAATAAGCCTATGGTCTTGTTCATCTCCTTATCTCCCTGAATCTAGCACAGGGATTCGTACTTTCAAATAAATGCCAAGTCAATGAATGAAGACACTCAGAGACCCAGTGCTTCAGGAGATTTCCCCCAACCACAGCCTGAGCTACCTCCCTCGTTGCCGTCCTCCCAACACCCCACATGCACCTTTGAGTCCCCATCACAACAATAATTTAAGACTAATTTCGGTGATTGTCTGTTGAACGCCTGCCTTCGTTGCTAGGCTGTGAACTTGTGTATTCTACGAGCCCTGGGGCCATGTCTGTTTTGTTCGCAGCTCTGGCACAGAGCAGCACTTAATAAATATTTGCTGAATAAATAAGACAATAATTCTTGGCTGTCAGAAGAGAATTACACACAGTGAAACCTTAATACTTGTACTTCATAGACTCTGTGTAGTACCTAGGACATTTTAAGCAGAGTCAATATTAACTGATAATAATGAGTTTGTACTATATATAAAGTGTGTGAGTAATGGCACCATTTCTAATTTAATGGATGATGATCTTAGTGCACCTTCTCCTAGGCAATGAAAAATAAAAATATCATTTTATCCAAAATGACATCACTGGTCCCTCTTACTATTTTTATCCTGATTGTAGAGAATTATAGTGATGGCCCAGAAAAATGCATTTCATTTAGGAAAAGTGGGGGGGTGGGGAACAGCCTTTGAATTACAAGAGCACACAAATGAATTAAAACCTTCTTTTGTGTTGGCATTGATGTATACAGAAAAAGTGCTTTTGTGTGTATGGCCTGCAAATTTTTAATTAAAGGATTTGGTTGGGCAAACTGGGTATGTCTAACCACCATGACAGTGATGAGTTTCAACGAGGCATTCTGTGCCCTCTGCAACATGACAACTCGGATGACCCAGCAGAGCTCCCTGTCCTCGGGAACAGTCATCTGGGTGTGTGTGTGTGTGTGTGTGTGTGTGTGGATTTTCCCACCATTCTGTGCTTTCCTTCTTCAAGGGATAGGACTTGAAAACAGGACACTAAAAGGTGAATTTGCAGAAGAGAGTTGGATGTGGGAGAAGTCATGCTAACAAGTCACAGTGTTGGTCTCATGGGGTCACACACTGATACTTTTTTAAAGGCAAAGCACATGCACGCACGTGATGAACTTATTACCCATTCTGATTGATGCCGCCTTTTCTCAACTCATCTATTAGGCTTTTTCTAGCATCCCATCACCTACAGGCAAAGATTCCTGTGGTTTTCGGAGAGATCAAATGTCATTTTCCTTGCTTTTGCTCTGTTGAGACTGAGGCTTGGTTCTCTGCCCTGGAAACTTTCATTTATCCTGAAGGATTTGAATGCCTGCTCTCCACTTCCAGGGGTAAATCCAACAATTCCTTATGCATGCTGTTAGCCAACCCAGTGACAAAGTTCAGTACAGAACGGAAGGTCCCTGCTCCCCAGATCTGAAAAGCTTAGCTGCTCATCTGAGCCAAATGCATGAACAGGATGAAGGTAAGAGAGAAGGGGAGACAGGGAGGTCGATCAGTTACCAGGACCAGGGCACAAGCCACCATCTTCAGGGTCCACTCACCACTCTAGCCAGGGAGATCAGAGAGAAAGAGAGCCTGTTGGAAATGTCCTCCCTGTCACCTCCTCGTCCCACCCACCACAAGAACCAGGACAGCCTGCACATAACCTTTTGAAAACAGTCACCCTTCCTCTTAGCTGAATTGGGCTTTGCTTGTATCATTTCATGGGTCCTAACCAGGGGGGGGTGCACTCTTGCCCCACCTGATGCAAAGTCTCTGGGGGGCAGCTCAGGAACCCCTCCTCGGGCCACTCCAGGGGCACATCTCCTGGTGAACTCTCCTGCCAGATCAAATCAAATTAAAATGCATATCAAGAGCAGCAGTGAAGGGGGGGGAACATGGAAGAGTAAACTGAAGAAAGGAGGTATCCCAAAAGAACTGGATAGCACAACTCCTTCATTGCAGTGATAATTCAAGAGGGAACCGGGCTGCTCTTATATAATAAATTCATCTTTTGAGGCATCCATCAGCTAGGAGAACCCTACATTCCCATCTCCTCACTATTTGGTAGTCAGTAGCATGGGGGCTCATGGGACGTTCCAGACACCGTGTCTATCCTAAGACAGCAGCTCCAGAATTCAAGGCAAGATACTTTGACACTGTGGGTTACTCACCCACCAAAATAGCTCCCAGCAGCTGGTTTCACTGATCGAGCCTCCCCAGGGCCTCCCCCATGTGACTTCTGGTCCACCACCAACCACACTGTGCCTGAAAGCCAGCCTCAGGTCAACCGCAGTCTCAACCCAGGTTTCTGGGTATCCCCCTCTTCCTGAGGAATCTCTGTCTTTTGGATGGTGCATTAGTTTGCTCGGGCTGCCACAGCCATGCACCACAGGCGGGCGGCCTGAAAGACAGAAATGTGTTCTCTCCTGATTCTGGAGGCAGGAAGAGCCACACGTCACTTCCTCTCCCATCTCAGAGACACTCCATTTCAGGGCTACACCTGGCTGCAGGACATGGGCATCCAGCTGTGCTCCCGGGAGCAGCTAGAGACAATCAGGTGATGAGCCTGTCCCCACCACAATGTCGGGTCTGAGTTCTCCATCCTGAGCCTGCCAACAGCCACTCCTGCCCCTGCTCCTTACTGATGCTCCATTCATAACACGAGTCATCTGACCCCATTCCAAGTATTTCCTATATAGCTAGGTGATTCCTTCTGCACTGCTTACAATATCTCATCTGGATATTTAGGCACCGTCCTCACTCCATAGTTTATAAGCTTCTGAAGAAAACTTGCATCCTACTGCAGTTAGTTGTGATACCTACATATTTTCTGGGAAAACCTGGAAGGAAGCCAGTATGGACAGACGAGCTTTACCTTCCCCTCAACTGTACCGAGCCCTGTCCTCTCCTGAGGGCTTCCCATGGTGCCAGAGTCCTTGGCAATAAAAGCAAACAAAGTAACATTTCAGCCCACTAATGAGTCGTTCGTCACGTGTGGGTTGGTGACTATGAATATAGCTCAGCGCCACGTCCTCGGGCGCAGCATGGGGCGATGCAGCGAGCAGACTTTTCCAGCAGAGGCTGCTGTGTAACCGCTCTCCAGACCGACTACGGATAGCCAGCCCGAGCACAGCGCAGGAGGGGCTGGTGGCCTGGGTCCACCACACGCTCTCTAGGGTCAGCCTTGGAGCGGAAGCCAGAGGTCAGGGAACCGAGGTCAGGGACCCGGACAGCAGCAGAGTGTGCTGGGAGCACGGACCAGAGCAGAGCCAGGCTGCGGGCCGGGGATGGTCTGGGCCTTGCCACGTGGGCTTCGGTGTTTCTTCATTTGCACAGTGCGGTTACTATCGCATATTTCCCAGGGTCGTCATGGAGACTCCACAAGCCGTATGATGCTTTACCATTGCTGTGTGTGCCTGGGGAAACGAACAGGGTCTTTGTGAGTCGGGAGAGCAGGCTGGGTGGGGTTAGGCTGGTGTGGGAAGGGCGGTGATGCCGGAATGTTCAACCTGACATTAGAAGCAGTGGTCTCTTCCAGCCTGATGAATCACACGATTACAGCTATGATTCATGGCCTGGCCTGGCAACAGGGCTGCCCCCTTGGGACCTCTGATTCACTCCTCCTCCTCCTACCAGGCAAACCCAGTCTTTCCCATGGGACCATTTCCCAGGTAGAGGATTCCTGGCCCAGTGTCCCCTGCTGGCTCTCCCCTCCTGAATGTCAGCTCTCTCCATCACCTGCTCTGTCACTTGTCCCGGAGCCCAGCAAGTGATGAGTTTATTCTGCCGTCGCTGTCCCCAGAGTCAGCCCCTCCTTGGAGTTTCCATACCTCCCACCAGGACAGGCTTGGCCATTGGTCAGACGTCCATCCGCCATCTCTGGCGCTCCGCTGACGGCCCAGGATGCTTCCTCTCAGCCTCCTGCACCTCTGCCAGGATGAACACACTTTCATTTTCATCCAGATACTCCAGTGCCGCCATCATGCATATCCCCAGGGCTGCCGGGGTTTGGCTCGGCTGCTCCGCTGACCAGCGTCCGTTGGAGGGCTCCTGCCCACCCTGGCTCCATAAAGCCACCTGAGATGTGTTCTTCTTCCTCATTAACATGTAGGGCCTGTGCCCCCATCTGCGGTCCCAGAAATTCTCTCCTTCAAGACCCCACTGTGAGTGTGTACATGTGTGCAAGGATGCGTGTGTGTGTTCTAGACAGAGAATGGGAATGTGTGGGACGTGAAAAATATTTTAACCAAAAGTAGGCATGGGATGGTGGAGAGAAAGGCTTCCAGCATTATCTGCAAGCGTCACATTCGCATTTCCCTTCTGCTGACCAATGTGCCACAGAGAGGCTGGTTCAATGCCCGATACTCAGAAGCATCTGAAGAAACAAACTTACTGAAGATGGGAGAAGTGTTCCCGGTATGGATAAAGACACTGAGGATATTTTTGTATTGCTTTTCCTTCCAGTTATTAGAAACTTAATTAGATTTTCAACATGGACAAAGGTGCATTTGAATTGGCCAGGGCAAGAAGTCAACATACTCACCTTTTTGGAGGTTCCCACACAGTGTTCCTCTGTTCCAGGCAGAAACAGAGAAAGGCACTGAACACGCCACAGAGCAAACTCAGTAGCAATTCTCTTGGAATCAGAGAACAATAAAGCTAAATGGGATTTTGCAGAACACCAGGTCCAAAAAAAAAAAAAATCTCATTCACAGCTGAGGAAGCTGAGAGCTTACACAGATAAAGATAATCATCCTGAGGACAAAGACAGTGATGGCAAATCTTGGATTAGAAACCAGGCTCCTGGGGGCGCCTGGGTGGCTCAGTTGGTTAAGCGACTGCCTTCGGCTCAGGTCATGATCCTGGAGTCCCTGGATCAAGTCCCGCATCGGGCTCCCTGCTCAGCAGGGAGTCTGCTTCTCCCTCTGACCCTACCCCCTCTCATTCTCTCTCTCAAATAAATAAATAAAATCTTTAAAAAAAAAAAAAAAGAAAGAAAGAAACCAGGCTCCTGGGATCCTGTCCAATGTTCCTTAAACCCTGACAGTCTCCTGCCTGCTGTATATTTAGGGAAGCAGGCCTCTCTCCCCCAGCTCTGGAGCAGGTCTAACAAACAATGCTTCGTTATGGACACCAGATCCTCAATCTGGGCTGTTCTCAGTCCAGAGGAGAGAAGACAAAACAGCCCGTGGTCCTTCAGCTACCTCCATTCTCTCAACGTTCTCGTGAAAAGAAAAGAAAACCACATCAATCAGGAGACATTTCCCCTTTGTGGATGTTGGTGGCCTATACTTCATATAAACGAGATGACCAATCCAAGGCAAGCAGCAAAAAAGGAAAGAAAAGAAGATTTCCTC